TCTTTTTACAAATTATTTGTTGTTATTATTCATTATATGTCTGTTGATGAGAGAATGATAGACAAAGAATGGCTTTTATTACAAAGAAACATTTTTGCACATTGCGTCTAATTCTGCAAATGAAGCAGATAAAGTCAATGAAGCTATGTGAAGGACCAAAACTAATTCAGAGACCTAATTATTTTCGCAGGGGAGAACTCTTGATGACTCTAAATTAGGTGTTTTGCAATGCTGAGAAGCTTCATCTTCAGCATAAAAGCAAGAGAACAATATAGGGCAGCCATTGGGCATAAATATAAGGCAATTTGGACCTGTGTGTGTCTAATTCCGAGAAAAGGCATAAAAGTATAACTAGATTCTAATGTTTTAAAATGCTGTTAATTAAATAAATGTCAGGTCTGTCGTTGCTCTTTTTATTGCATTTTATTTCCCCCCTTTTGTATCAATGTTTTATGCAGGTGTATTTTATTTCAACTTGTAACCTGCTTCCAAATTGTTTGCAATGAAGAACTAGAGAGAACTGCATTTAAGGGAGGGGATGAAATGGCTGAAATAAACATTAAAATATGGCTTTGCAGGCAGATTTAAATTCCTTTTGTTTCATTGGCAGAGAGTGAAATTTCCCCAGGATGTTCTTGCGTATAAGCCCCATTGAAATGAATGGATAACTTATGCCCATTCACTTCAACGGGGCTTGTGTAGGAGAGCAGTCCTTGTACTGCTTTTTTTTTTTAATCATTCTCTGATCTTTCCACATCAGCCTTGCTATTTTGTGGAACCTTAGGATCTGATAAGATAATAAAATAGTGCAACAGTAAAGTGAAATGATTTATGGATTCATTCCCCCCCCCTTAATATCTCATTTAATATGAAGTAATACCAGTTAACTTTTTAAAAGATCATATTGGATAGATAGATTTTGAAAAATAAAAAAATAAAATGACATCTTCAGTCCTGTTCTACACAGCATTGTGCTTCTGTTACAGGCTTTGTTCTCAGGCTCCTTCCTGAGGCAAACTTGTCTACTGGATGCTTGTAGATGGACGATTTCAGGAAATAAAAATGGTGGCTCATGCCCTTGGATTTCCCACCCTATTTTCTTCAGCATGAGATCTGCAGCTTCTAGAACCCTATAAAACATACCAGAAACAGTTGGGTGGGAGAGATTCTTGTTGTTGTTTAGTCGTGTCCGACTCTTTGCGACCCCATGGACCAGAGCACTCCAGGCACTCCTGTCTTCAGGAGAGATTCTACTCCAAGCTAAATCCCAGTATCTCTTGTGGTAGGTAGTAAAATGCCCCCCACCCCAAAGCCATAGTCATGTTGTGTTAGAAGAAGGGCACACAAAGTCTGCTTCCTTGAATCAGTATTTCTTTGGAAAAGCCATGGGTTGTTTTTTCCTCTTTATCCCAGTAAGTTAGCATTGGCTGAGACAAAAAAAGAAACAGCACCCTAATGGTGTTAGTCAATATATTTCTTGTGATTTTTGTTTTGTTTTGTCCTAAGCTCTTCCCCACCCTTTCAACAATAAACCTACATCACTGAATCACTTTTTGTTGATGATCCGCCACCCCAATCTTCTCAACCCATTACATTGACTGGGACAAAAAAACATGTACAATTGAGGCGTTTTTAAATTTTATTTTGTTGTTGTTGTCCCAGGTGCTTTTTGCTAGTTGGATTGGACTTTGCTGATTGGATTGGAGCTTTTTGCTGACTGGATGAGCTTTGGGGACATTGTTGATCACTCTACAGGTGGACTGTGTTGTAGATCTAATTTTGTGTAAATTCTGCTATGGAAATTGAACCAGTCATTTACCTCCAGAGGTTTGGGTACCCTTCAGATATTTCATTCAATTTGTTCTTACTATTACAGCTCTGTAAATTAGAGGCCACAGATCATACTTCCTATGACCTCTACTTTCTTGGTTAGTACTTTAGAGCAGTTTATATTGTGGTGGCTGTCATCCAAGATATCATTTTATGTTTTGTTTCGGTGCGTCCAAGCTGGAGTTGCAGCCGTGGAACCGTAAAAGGCCACCTGTCCTTCTGGAAAAGTTGGCACATTTTTACACTGAGTTGGTGCTATGGAACATTACTTGTCATGGCTGCAAATTCCCTCCTGGGCAGTTGCAATTGTAAAATACTTTTGGATTTCTCTCATGCCAAACCGTCACTGAAGAGCACTTGAGACTGCGTACAAGTGGGCAAGTTTCAAAGCTGACAAAGTATTCTAGTCTAGTAGACACAAGGTCACAAGCAAAATTTTAGTCCTCAAGTTTCTGTGTGGACTGCACAGTCCCAGACTGCCTTCAACTGTATGGGAGTCTGCATGATTCCTACATCTGCAACTGGAATTTACAAACATAACAAGTCAGACTTGCAACCCTCTGTTAGCTGCAGCACACACATACAGGGCTCATACCACAGGATTAACAATTAGGACACGGTCTTTTTAATAGACAGAAACCCTTCCCCTTTTTATTTCAATACTCAACATACATAAAACATGAAAAATATTTAGAACGATCAAAACATTTCCTATAATGCACATTTAGTAACTTATATGAAGAGTGCTTCACATCACTACATCTTTTTTTAAAGCAAAAGTTAACTTTTGGGCAGTCATCTTGTGACAGAGATCTATGTAGCTTCTATTTCCATAAACTAGTGATGTAATTCCCTAATGTAATTTGTTTTAACTAAGCCCTCATACATTTTCAAAAGTTCATGAGAAATTATCAGGCGTGAAAGGACATCCCCATCATTTTAAGGCCATTCGCAGCCTCTTGTTGATTTAGTTTAATTCTGTAACACTGCTAAGATGGGAATCAATGTTTTGATTTTTATTGGTCACTGTGAGGGATTTATCAGCAACTTTTTATTATCACAATTGGATTTTTAAAATAATTCTGGCTCCTGCATTTCATATTGGCCACTGATAGCTTGGAACACTATTCTTGGCTCAGCATTAATCAGGAAATCTGTTTACATGCTGAACATTGAACTAAGCTTGAAGAGAACCAAATTTCTTGCACATGTTATCTTTTTTTATTTAAAAAATGAGTGCAGATGGACATTCCATATGTCTCTCACTGTGTCTGTCATCTCTGAAGACTGCCTGCCTGCCTCCTATATTTTCCTGTCTCCTTTTCCTTTTTCAAAATAGCTTTGATTTTTTAAATTAATTTTAAGTTAATTAATTGCACTTAATATTCCCATAAAAAAATAAAAGGAGATGCAAAATATAAAAGGAAGTCCAACAGCTAAACTGGGAAGAAGGCTCAACTAGGCATGATACTGACTGTATCTTTGTATTTAATGTTTTTTAAGATGCAAAGAGCACCATTGTCAGGATTGCAGCTGATGTGATAGTATCAAGTTTGGCCTTTAGAAATATGATTGAACTAAAAATATTTCCATACTTAGGCCAGACCACTTGCTCCAGAAGAACCTGCCACACGCTTATAAATGGGGACTTAAAGAAGCTAATCAACTAAAAAATGAAATATCACTAAAGAGAGTAATCTTAGAATAGTATTCTCAAGATGTGTAAGAGCAGAAGATAAGCTAGGATCTAGACTGACAGGCATTAACACTCTTAAAGAGGATTAGGAAGTGGTACAAGCATCCCTCCACTTTGCTCTTCCATACCCTGCTGGTCTCTAGCAGTGGAGAGCCTCTCCACCACAGATATATTTACTGTACCTGTGGAATGCATGAGTGGAAGCTTCCTCTGGTAGCTACCTTCAACCCTCTCTGCCCCAATAGCAGCTTCATTGACCTCATCCACCTTCTGCTCTTCTGCTGGCATGGGTGTCAGGACTTCCGATGGGGTGGTGCTTTTTCTGCTTCATTTAGTATGGCTGTTTTTAGATGAAAATGAGTCATATCATGAGACAGATATGTTTTGATTTCTTCAACAGGAAAGATTGGAGCAAACTGTAGCCCAGAGTAAACCATCAGAAGTCACCAGCCCATTGTGTGTGTGTGTGTGTGTGTGGTGGGTGGGTGTGTAACAATATGTAGCAAAAACTATCCTACATCAAAGTTCCTTCTTTCTCATGCCAAGAAAGGAGAAAAGTGAAAGGAAACAGAGAAAGGAAAGGAAAGAAGCAAGAAAATGACACAAGAAGAGGGGAGAGGGATAACATAAGAAAAAGTCTAGAATACCATAAATAAGTTTAAAGGAGAAATATTGTCATTTACTTCGCCAATCCAGAAATGAATGGATTTCATTTCTAGAGTCACTGGCCCATCTCTTGTGTCTTGATATTGTATTGGGATGTGCACAAAGCATTTTCTTGGGGATATAGATTATAGAGTCGAAACATCTTCACATTCCTAGAGCTGACAGAGAGAAGGTTCAAGTTCGAATGTGTGTAGGTATAACCACAAATTCATGCCCATTTATCTAGGTTCAAGTCAGAGCCATTGTAGCATTATCATAACTTTCTCTGTAGCTCAGTCCATTGCTATGTGAGTTTTTGGTGTTCTATCCTGAGCCAAATCTAGGGGAAGTAAGTACTGAACTCAGACAGTGCACTAGTGTGAAAAGCTCTTTCCATATCAATGGTGACAACCCTGATACAGAGCACTGCAATGCCCAGTGACCTATTTTTTATTTATTTTTTGGCTACGTGGTGTGTATTGTGTAAAACCTATGCTTACACATACAGTTCAATACTTTTGAATAGGTTCTCAGTTTAAGATGGCAGCTTCCTCCACTGTTTGTAACAGCCTCAATCACCAACTGGTAATATTGCGGAAAGAAACCTCAATCAGAAAGCATTCATAGATACAGTACCCACTTTAAAAAAATATATAGGGGTGAATACAATAGCATCATTTCATAACTGCACTCAGACCTTTTATGCCATTTTCTCTGAAGCATCCATTAACAGTCCCTGTCTGACAAGATACTAGGCCAGATGGACCATTGTTCTTGTTCTTTGTGATTGTACCCATATTTTATTTTTTACAATAATTTCTTATTCCAGATTTCAGATATATTGGTCCAGAAACTGAACCAAAATGCCATCCAGTTTGATTTAAAGCCTGGGGTTCGAATCCTTGTCCATGCTGCCCATTTAACAGCAGGTTGGTATAGATTCCTAAAAACCTCTGCCAGTGTTGTTAGCACAGCTTATTATGAATTCTCCAGTGGCAGCACTGTGGAAATGTCAATTTTTTTTGGTATTTGGAATACTTTGTATTTTTATTGCAAGATATTGAAAATAGCTCAATCAACGCTTTATGCATGTTTACTTGGAACATCAGGTAGAAGCCTTATTGTGTTCAACAGAGCTTACTGCTACCAAGTGTGCTTAGGATTGCAGTCTGTATGTGGTACAAATCTTGGAATGGCTATTTCACTCAGCCTGTTATGGCCTTTAAAGAGCACATTGTAGAGGAAGGAATGAAGCACTTAGTGGCTGTGGTGCTGTATACAAGGCCCCTGCCTCCAATGTCCCTGCACCCTGAGTGTGCCATTGTATGATGGAAAGAATTGTACCCCTATGGGTACATGAATATAAGAAAAGCCCTGCTGGATCAAGGCTCACCTGTTCCAGTATCCTGTTCTTGCAGTGGCCAGTCAAGTACCTTCAGGAATCTTGCAAGCAGCACATAAGCACCACAGTACTCTCTCCTCTTGTGATTGCCATCAATTCAGAGGCATGGAGGTAGCTTGGTTTTATTTCATCATAAAAGGTTTAGGTATGGCATGCCCTCCCATGGGGGTTTTGTGGCCTCATTTGCAAGGCTCATGGCAGCTGCTGTAACAGTTCTAAGGAGAGAGAGAGAGAGAGAGAGAGAGAGAGAGAGAGAGAGAGAAGTTAAAAAGCAGTCCTTGGAGCACATTGTAAAATGTAAGTAAGATAATGTTGTGCGTTAGTATTTAAATGGGACAGAATGGTCTTTGTACCAGTCATGTATGTAACTGAAACAGACAACTCAACCCTTAGTTGCCGGTATCTAAAATAAACAACATTTGAATGCCTCTTTGCAAGTTGGGATTTGAATAAATGTGGAAAAATAATCTGTCAAATTCCAAATTCAGACACTTTTCACTTTAACTTTAATGATAATTATGGCAATGCTGAGTTTCCCCCTTTTCTCATTTTCCATTCCTTGCTGGCTAATTAGTAAAATCATAGATTAAGTACAAATCAGCTGAGCCTTGTTTGCAGGATTGTGACATTCTTGTTTCCTAAACTGCTACAAATTTGTTGCCAGTTTTCTCAAGATACCTTTAAAAATCTATCAACACAAACCCATTTGTCATTATATAATATTAGATTTATTGGGATATAAAGTGTTCAAGCTGCATTGTAAGTATTATTTGCTAACTCTGTGATCTTCAATGATTCATGCACAAAGATTGTCACTGTTTTCATGTGCGCAAACCCTGTTGGTGTCAATGGGAAATGCGTATGTAAACTGAATAAAATGACCCTTTACTTGGCTAGCTTTTATTAACAATATCCAGCATTATTGTTAGTGATTCTGTCTACTCTGTATCAACATTAATTCAGGACTCCTTTTGCTGTTGTGGCTCCTATAAGATGCATATTTCATCCCGAGAACTGTTTGTGAAACATGAATTTGGCATGTCAGTCAAAATAATAACTAGCTATGACCTGACCAGTTCAGCCGAAATGCATTCTACATCAAGATAATGAAGTTCATGCCATAGTTTACATTTATGAGTCCCACTGGCTATGTTCCTGTGCTGGCTGCAACAGTTCTTCAAGGTTTCAGACTGCAAACACTCCCAGCCCAACCTAGAGCTGTTGGGGATTGATCCTGAGACCTTCTGCATAGAAAGCATGTGCTCTGCCACTGAGCATGGACAGCAGTGAGCTCCCACCTCTCGCACTGACACAGTGCCTAGGAGATCAGAAGCTTTTGCTTTCATTTTCGTCCACGCATCTGCTTGCTCACAGAAAACCCAATTGCCATTTGTTCTGACTGAGCACTAAAGAGCAGTTTTCTACAGGGCAAGAGGAAGTGTGGATAAACCATAATTGTGGTTACTCATTGTGACCAGAGCTGGAGAAAGCGGTTAACTGATTTAGGAAAAGAAGCCACCTTGAACCACAGTCCTGGCATATATATTTTTTTGCCTAAAACTGTGCTTGGTTGAAAAAGCAAGCAGACACTTTCAATCTCTTCCTGGCTCTGCAGGAGGAGTGGGGAACAGGAGTGCATGAACAGAAATGAGACGATACGTTTTCCTGTTCATTTCATGTTAGTTAAAAGGTGAAAGCTGATTTGACGCGCTGTTTAATCCAGCCTCTTCCCTGTTTCACTGAAGCCTAGATTTCACTTTATCCACTGTAGAAGGAGAGTCGGGTTTCATCAGCTGGCCTTACCCGGCTAATCTGCACCCAAAAGCCTCATCCCATCAGATTTCTGCTAATGTACATTTTTCTCTCCAATATATGCATCTTGCTTGCCTTCTACAAATGGTATTGGTCAATTTGCCATTTCCACCACAATTTCTAATACCTTAATCAGTCATTTGGTAATGGTGGGTAGAGCTGCACTTTCTCAGTATCTGGCTAACACTTCCTTGGCAGCATTTAAGTGACTTATAATTAAGATTTTTCACAAAAAATTGGATCCCATTAGCCTAAATATTTAACAAACAAACAGAAATCCAATTTAGGGCTGAATGTCACAAATGTGTTCACAGTTTAAATACAGCTAGAACAAACTACTTTCATAAATTTAATTATTTCTACTCTTGCCTAGTCTTTCCCAACCTAGGGTCCTCCCAATATTTCTGGACTACATATCCCATCATCCCTTACCATGGACCATGCTGTCTGCAGCTAATGGGTGTTGGAGTTTAAGTCTACTTTTAATCACAAGGCAATGGGCTCCTGCTATTTGTGTGAGGATCTCTTTTTGGGTAAAATTTCAATTGCCTGTGTGAGAAAGGGTCTTTGCACAGAGCTCTGGGAATAGTGCATGCAGAGAGCAGCAACATTCTTTTAAAGGGAATAAGGAACGAGTCACTGTTTAAAGCATTTCTTAAGCCAGATTTACTAATAGCTTCTCTTGGGATCATGGCTGTGTGCTCCTCTATCCAATTAGCAGCACAGCAAATATCTGCATGTCCTCTTTATAAGTGTGAAAAACCTACAGGAGGTGAAGAAAAAATGCCTAACTCCTGTCACTACTGAATTAAAAGTGTCCTCTAAATAGGCAGCTGTCACCTTTTCAATGGACTGATTTCTTTCTTTTAAAAAACCAGCTAGTCAAATGGTACAGGATAGAAATGAAATCTTTGTTTCTTATTTCCAGTTGCCTAAATAATCCAGAATGACCAGGGAATTTGGGTTTATTCCACATTGCACTCTGTCCCACCACACCCCAACCGCATCCCCCTTAACCCAGAAAAATTCAAAAGCCCATTTATTCAAGATTACCAAGTTTATTCTTAGAATGTTTATTCAAAAGCATGAAGAGTGAATATAAACGTCTCCGGACTTACAATGCTTGCCTCGAAAACAAAATGAACATTCTGAGCTCCCAATTCTTATCTGGCTTGGAATTTTAATCTGAGCTGGGGAAGAATTGCCTTCTTAACCCCTTTCAACTACATTTTCTGTGTGCTACTTGGGGGCTGGTGCACAGTGTGCTAGATATCAGAGTAGTGAGGTCTCTCTTCCCTTCTCTACCAGAGCACAAACACATTAATGTGGAGGCAGAGGGAACAGAGAGAATTTGGGGGATTTGCCTCTTGTTTTCTCAATGGATATTCCATCCAAATAAATACTAAGTGAAAAATTAAGTACTTGAACTATCTGTAAATAAAACAAAGTGCCACGTCCATGCTCAGCAGGTAACTTTATCATGTATGGCAATATGTTTCCACATTTGAATTTTACATGACACCTGTCTATTGCATTGAGAAAAGCCCATGCACAATCTGGCCAGAGTTGCATTAAGATTTGACCTTGGGTATAGTAGTATATTTTTCCAGTTTATTTGCAGTTTCTACAAACTAGTTAGGATTGGTAAAGGCACTGGCGGTGGCTTAGTATGTTTGCTGCAGCATCCAAGCCCAGGTCAAATTCAGAATCATCTTAACATACTTTTGTTCATGGTTTTGGAGAAACTGAGGGGGGAATTTAGTGAGGACAGGCTGTTCTCTTTGACTGATTTGCAGAGCAGTATGACAAAGCTGCCAGCTATTTGGAAGGAGTACATTCTGCTTTTCTGGCAGGGCCAGTCCTCAGTCAGCCTTTGAAACCACATACCACTGCATGGTTTGGTCCAGATACTACTGTGTTTTGGATTGGGATTGTGCAAGCGCAAGTCCTAGATGCTCGGTGGAGGTTCTGTAATTTTCAGTTCACATGACATTGTATGTTTCTGCTGAATACAGTACAGCCCTCTGGATGAGAAATTTGGAAACATCAAAGGCGGCTGTCCAGGAAAAGGGTGATGATTACTTTGCAGTTTCTGTGTAGGCTGATTTGGTGGTGTGTATATAATTTTATACCTCCATTAACTGATCCCCAAAGTTGTGGTTTCCAAATGGAGGACCAATAACAACTGTGTCTATTGGGAGAGGTTTGTGAATTGGCTGTGAAGACACATAACAACAAAGAAGGGCAGATTTCTAAATCCAAGGCATAGTAAACATAAATAAATACATCCTCTAGTTAGAAAGCCTTATCAGAACATTTGGGACCTAATGTTCTAAACTTTTCTTTAACTTTTTACAGCCCCTCTCATAGATGTCACACCTAGCCACAGTGGTTCAGCCATGCTGATGCTGCTCTCCGTGGTATTTGTGGGATTGGCAGTATTTGTAATCTACAAATTCAAAAGGTATGACTCCTTCCTTCTTTCCCTGCCATTCTTCTGTCAGGTGTGAAAGCATAATGCAAAGAGCACCTTAGCATACACGCCAATTATGGTTTCTGTTAATGTTTTAGGAAGATTCCGGGCATTAATGTTTATGCACAGATGCAGAATGAGAAAGATCAAGAGATGGTCAGTCCAGGCAGTCAAAGTGAAAGCATGCCTAATGTCCCTCAAAGGGAGCTGATGACCCCAGAACAACTAGTAGATGAGAAGTTGGATACCCAGCCCATAGGTAAATAAACTACAGCAGCCAATAATTAGTCAAAGTCTGCATTCTCATTGGCTATATCTATTCTGAGTCTTCCAACCTCCTCTGCTAAAACACTGTTCCCACTGCTCTGTTAATCTCTCTCTAAATTGGTCTAAACTAACTCCAAGATCTCTACTTCTCCTCTTCTATTTATTGAATAAGAAAATCCACAGTGAAGTTTTGTCTTCACTATAATAACTCTCTCTGCAGTTGTTCAGGGTTATGAAAACAAGAAAGTTGTGTGATCAGGAAAATGTTTATGAGTTTCTGGTTCACAGTTCCTGCCATGAAGTTTACCTGTACCTATAAAGCTGTGTGATAGTTACTGGGAAAGTGCAAACTCCACCTCGCTAGCCTCCCAACAAATTGCAAAGCACTTTGTTTTCACTGCACGATAGATTTAATTATTGCTATTCCATCTCACGTTTTAGGGCAAGCCCCTATAGAACATTAGAAACAACAGAGCCTCAGATAAAGTGTGCTGTGCTTTCAAAATATCTTCCCATGAATAATCACTCTAACATGGCCCACCTACATTGAAGGTAGGAAGCAGTCTGGCAAAGGATGCATAGAGACATATCACTTTTAATTTTGCCATCTCCCATTAGTGTAGTCTATCTGTTGAGAAAGAAAGAAAAGATAGATTGAGGATGTACTTTGCTAACAATGTTATCCAGAGTAGCCTTGATGTGGTCTGGGAGATTTCAGTGCTACTTCAAGAAAACTAATAATAATTATTTTTGGGTGCTACAGTGTTTGTGTTCCTTGGCTTGGTTTAATACGACAGACTGCGGACCACACTCTCAGTAGCAGTCCTCAGTTAACTCAGTTGGTTTTGGCAGGATCTCAGTGGAAATGTCTTCAAGGATAACAGCCTGAGGGCTTCAGCCAAAAGGAAAAGCAAACAAGATGCATGTATGTAAAGTTCTGCAGGAACTGGTTATGTTCACCAAACATTAAATTGTTGCAGGGCACATAGAATTGTGTGAGTTACCAATCTTCCTAGCATTTGATCATGTGGCAAGGAGATTCTTGCCTCATGCTTGTGCCTGAGCAGAAATCTGGGGAAGTCAGTGCAGGAGAAAGTCGTCCTCACCAACTGGACACGGGCTAAAGAGGTCTCCTCCCACAAGTAACTGCATGGTCAGAGGAATACAGGAAGATGCCTTCTACTTAGTCAGCCCGTTGGGTTCTATAACCCAGTATTATTTGCTCATAATGGCAGCAGAAAAGATCCTTCCCATCACCTGCTCCCTGAGCTTTAAAAACAAAACAAAGCAAAAAAATACAAGAGACGCCAGGGATTGAACCTGGGACCTTGTGCACACAAAGCTCCCAAGGGGCTGTACATTGTGACTTGGAGAATTGTGGTTGCTATTCACCACCTGATTACTTTTTTACTAAATTGTATTCCTCTCATTCTTAAATATTATATGGCTTTCTGGATTGAGCATCCTAATTTTGATTTACTATTCCTGCCTGATAGACAATTTGAGCATGATAGTTATCTGCCCTGTCTACATGTTCTTTCTTTCTTTCTTTCTTTCTTTCTTTCTTTCTTTCTTTCTTTCTTTCTTTCTTTCCTCTCTCAACCTCTCTCTCTCTTTCCTCTACACTCTATAATCTAAATTATATATATATTGTTGGACAATGTTAAATATGTAACAGTCCCTCAGTGCAGGGATTTAAACTTGATGACCTCTGTTTCCTTTTCAGTCAAATGATTCTATGAATAACTTGAAAATGCTACATTCTAGAAATCTTGGTTTCCTGAAAGTCTTCATAATTAAAATGTGTTGCAAGATGCAAAGTTCATTTCTGACTGGTTTTATCGTTACCTGATGGTACAATTGTTGTAGATATCCAAATAAAAAGGCGTATTTTAAATGCCATTCTGTACGATGCACAAATCATTTAAAATGCAGTAGCTGAATTTAATGGAATAATGCCATTGCCTTCAATGAACTTGGGCTGTTTTAAATTGAAATGCTACAGCTTTACTTTCCCCCATTTATTTTCTTTTGTATTATATGCAATGAACTATGAGGGTTGGGGTTCTGGCAGGAATACACTTTTGACAACAAAGCCAACCCTTTCCTTCTAGGATGACCACAAAACCACATAAGAGAAGGACAACAAAATCAGTGGATAGCAAGGTTATCCATTTTTCAATTGATGCCGATCTTGTGCTTTAATACTCAGATATAAAGTAGGATAAGTTTCCCCATTGCTTTATGCCGATGCAACAGACTTTTGCTTGCACAATGAAACATCCCCATCCTCTCTTCTTCCCTGCAGCTGCCTGCACACCCTCAAAAATTTGATTCATGTGATTGAGGGACTCCTCCCCACACCCAAATTGATCCATTTGTGGGCATGCTGGGAGAGGAGAGGAAGTCTCCTTGCATGAGCAGAATGCCATTCAAACATCATCATCATCATCAACAACAACAATTACAGTTCTATCCCATCTTTCCTTCAAGGAGCTCAAAGTGGCACACAGTGGCACCTCGTGTTACGTACTGTCTCCCTTACAAATGCTTTGGGTTACGTGCTCTGCTAACCCGGAAGTAGATGGCCCTTGTTGAGAACTTTGCCCTGGGATGTGAGTGGAAGTCACAGTGCATTTAGCGAAAACACGCCTCATGTTACGAGTAGTTTCGGCTTAAGAACGGACCTCCGGAACGGATTAAGTACATAACACGAGGTACCACTGTACCTCCTCATTTTGTCCTCACATAACCCTGAGGGGTAAGTTAGGCTGAAAGGCAGCGACTGGCCCAAGGTGACCCAGGGAGCTTCTTGGCCGAGTGGGGATGCGAACCATGGTCCTAGGTCCTAGTATGATATTCTAACACCACACCATAGAACCTTATATGTTCAGCTGCACAAGAGCAAACTGAGTAAAAAAAAATTTCATTGATACAAATGTAATAAGCACAGAGTTCACATAATAGTTTTTAAATTACAGCTCAATCATACCAACATAACAGCTTTCAAATGGTAAAAAATGCACTATAAAACTAACAGAAATTCTCATTTACTTTCATATACAAATGTTCTATCAGGAGAGTTACATGAGTTCCAGAGACCTTGGGAGACCTTTATAAATCTCCATTGCAGCCTGAAATATTTGCTCCAACCTCCAAGCAAATCCTGATTATTGCAAATCACAGTTACGTTTGTAGTGCTATGCCCACTTTCCTGAGAATAAGCCTTTTCAGTCAGTTGGGTGTGTGTCTGTATAGCTATTAGTGTCAGTGCTAATATATACCAGAGCTATCTTGTCCGTTTCATATCAACATCTTTCATGGGGATAGGGGACCACTGAGAAAAATCTTGCTGTAACTCAGTGAACCTGCTTTTCACAAATGCATGAACACATATTTACATTCATCATGGGGCATTTTCTGCCACCCCTCTCATTATCACAGTCCCATCCAACTCTTTGTTGATTCATAAGCCACTTTTAAAGCTCTAGGGTTCATGGATGCAAAAGCACAGCAAAAGAAATTCTTGAACTGAATTCTGAAGAGAATAAAATTAATACGATGATGAGCAAAACAATGAGAAAAACTCAGAAAATCATGAATTGGGCATCAGAAGATCAGAACGTGAGCAGCAAAATGCTACGAATATTTGACCCCAGAGTGGCAGAAATGTTCTGACAGGAATGAGAGGAGATATGAAGCAGCTGGGAGAATCAATACAAATGCTAAGATAAAAATGGGATCCAGGGAGAAAAATTAACCATTAGTCAAAATGCAATAGAAAAGAAAGGGAATTGACTAGCAGATGGACAGCAACCGAACAACAATTCATAGGAAAGAAAAGGGAAATAGCATTAATATTAAATGAAGGCAAGGAATGAGAAGACAAAGAGATGATGAGCAAGGGGAAAGCATAAAGCCAACTTTGCTGCCAAAGTCTTCATGGCCAATTGAATGAGAAAACACGAAGCCACTCAAAAGAAATAACAGCAGGAGTCTTGCAGAGAGAGTGCATACGTGGAAGAACTGAAAGAGAAAAAGCACATGAATAAGAGCAATCTTATTACACATAGAGCTGCATCTCAAGAGACTATACAAAAGGAAATGAGAAAGAGAAGAATGGCAGGGACTGTGGATGCAGTTAGGTCAGGCTAAGCATGGTGCTGGTTTCTGAGAAGTCTACCTAACTAACAAATAGAGATGATTTTTGAGGAGACGGGGAGCTGAAGTTGGGGTGGCAAACCAGTGGTCTTCCAGATATTGCTGAACTACAGCTTGCTTCTTCCCAGACCATGCTGGCTGGGGCTGAAGAAGAAAATGTGTGGTCAGAGGGAAAGAAATTCTGCTCAACAGAATTAGGCTGCATTCACACAACACTTGATTCTATTTTCCTGACATTTTCTCACTTGATAATTTCCATGTTTATTGTCACCTTTCATACTCAAAAACCCCTTCTGGAAATCTAGCTGAATCTTGTGGAGGTTTAGCACTCATTTCTGTGTTAATTGCCTGCAGAAAAATCCATTTGTGACCACGTTAACCCAGAGAATTGTGAGATGAAATTTGGTGTGGTATGCTGGGGTGCAGTTATTTCCCATCAAAGTCATGGGTGACTCATGAAGGAACAGAAGCAGATAAGAACATAAAGGGTGGCACCATATCTAATGATGTCTACTCTTGAGTCATGCCATCCCCACTGGCATGAATTAAATTTAGCAGGACATGTTGATATATCAATCAAAAAGCCACAGTTCCATCTCACAACAGGCGATGTGGTGTAAAAGGGCCGTTGAAAACCAAGACAGACATCTTACCATTATAACCAGGAAAACTAATGCAATATTCCCCATGCCTGAATTCAACCTTAGTATCAGACAATGACCTAGCAAGAGTGACCGTTTGGGTTCAGTCCATCACCTCCATCAGCAAGTGTGAATCACTGACTTCAGTTATATTCCAATACCTAAATTTCAAGTTCTACATTGTTAGAAAAGGGACTCTAAGCACTAGTTTAAGTCTGGGCTGACATATCCCTTGAACAGTACATTTGGCTTTCTTGGCCTTCAGCACTCAGACTTGGAGAATTCTAAAGGCACGGAATGTAAGTCATGAGAAGGTAGAGGTGCAATAATCTATCCAGAAAATGACCTTTTAAATGGATCATAAGGCGTAAGGAACAGAGCAAGACCTGCCAGCAGCAAGGAAAGAGGCACATTTTGACAATTCTGTAAATAGAAGTTTATTTATAAGTACACAGTTGGTGATTAAATGCATGCAAAATATGTTCTCTTATTATAATTGTGTGGTTTTTATTCTTAATCAGCTTCCCTTCTTCCCCCTCTCCTTGCCCTTGTGGTACTGTGCTTTTAATGAATCTAACTGATTCTAGCTGGGGTTATTTGTAGGGTTGCCAGATTTCCAAAGACCAATTCTTGTACACAAGAGGCTATTGGGAGGAAAAATTCCTGGACATCCTGGACACCAACCAACGAGCGTGAGCAGACAGCCAAGGACTGCCCAGAGTCCAGGACCAGACAGTGCATAGACTGTTGCCCTACTGATGAGCATGCTGGCGGTCAGATGTACGAGGAGCGCTCGTCAGGCGCAGGTGCGCTGGGTTGCTGACCTGCTGATTAGTAGACTGGCGGTCAGCAGAGTGGAAGGGGGGCTGGGGGGGGGCTGTCTGCCGAGGGCAAATACCAAAGCGTCAGTATGGAGAAGTGAGTGGGCAGATGGAGTCCTTTCAGAGCTGCCAGTCACAAGGCTCAACTATGAGGACACTGCACAAAGCAGGCAGTTCTTCCATGTCCAAACCAATCATGGATATCTGGCAACCCTATTTTGGATCTAGCCTTGGCTTAATACGAGCTTACCAGGGCTCAGCCTGAGAGCATTTCATGATGCCAGGCTCAGCTTTGGAGACTGACAACTAAAAAGAGCTAGAGTGCATCTCTTGAGCATGTGAGGGTTGTCTCTCGCTCCACGCTGAGTTATCACAGCCAATCTCAACCTGTCTGGGATTAAGGTTGCTTCTTAGTGAATCATTAGAAGTAAATGAACATCTCCACTCAGACAGAAGAACAATTTTCTTAATCTGGGGGAGAAGATGTCACAGAGTCTATTTGGCTTTGATAGGATTCTAGCTGGTCACCTGAAGTTGCTCGTTTTACGCAAGGCTTCGGTTAAGGGCCCCTTGTGGACAGATTAGGTAGAATATAATTTTGTCAAATAAATAAAGCCAACAGGTGCTGCCAGCATAGTTTGACATATCCTTATGGAGGATGGATAAGACATTCTCCATCAGTAATGTTTCTGTGGGCAGCCAAGAAAACTTGGAGGGACAGAAAGTTAGCACTATCCTTAGTGCATAGCCCTCCCTATTTCTCTTTCATGACAACCGGTTCTGCTGGAGGGCTTTGGATATTCCCAGAGATAAGGAGTTTTATGGCAGAAGGTACTGCTTAAATGCAGAATGAGAGCCTCTGGTGCTCTTTCTTTAAAAATTAACCACTGGATATGAAAACTGAATCAGTTCACATCTGACAGTCACTGGGTGGGAACACACTCTGCACAAAGACAAATGCACCAGCAGATTGTCAGATCTCTGACACCTTGTATTTCATTTCAAATGCCATTAAAAGCATTGTGCTGCTTCTCAGAGGAACACAGCTAGTCCCATTCCTCCTCTCCCTCATCTGCCACTCCATAATTTGACATGGTTAAGTCATATTCATTAGTACAGGAACAAGACATTACAGTCTGCCTTCTAAATGACAAGCAGATATTCTGGGTGCATGGTGTGTTAGGAAGAAACAATTAAATCCAAAGACAATTGACATGATATTGAGAGACTTTCTGCTCCTGCTCGCTTTGCTAACTCTCCTTTTGTTGTTGTTTTTCTCTGCCGCAGGAAGTATTTCCACAGTTGCTGAGACACAAAGCACAAAAGAAATCCCTACCTGTATAAATGTTTGAAACAAGGACACCGGTCTATCTCTGTCCCCTTCACCCTGATATATATATATATATGTATAAAAAGAAAAAAAGGAAACCAATCACTGCTTTTGGACTTTTTGATTCTTCTGACGACAAAGGGGTTTTTAGCTTTAAGCCTGTGCATGTGGATGTCATTTGGATAACATATTGGGAACTGCAGTGTACAGGTGCTCTATTTTAATGGAGTAAAAGAGGAAGGAAAAAAACACTTCCTCTTAATCCTCTTCTCTCTTCTTTTCTAATCAAGGTTTAATTTGTAAGTGATTCATAATGAATATAGGCCAAGAACGTGCATGGGGTCTTTGTGGGAGGGGGTGGAAGTTCCTGACTTTCGGTATAACTTATGCTTTTAGCACTGCAAGATTGTAGGTGGATTTGCCACTCCAGCCTACATTCCTGCACCTGCAATCCTATACACACGGACTTAGAAGTAAGCCACACTGAACTCAATGAGGCTTTCTACTGAGTAGACATGCATAGGAATGCAGTGTCAAATACTCACAAAAAATCTGCACTAGAGTTTGATGGCATCACAATGTTTTTAGGGGGGTTGTTTATGTTTTTCAGATGTCTCTGTTTGGACTTTTACTTTTTGTCTTGTGATGTTCCTTTGTCTAAAGCTGTTTTTAGCTTGTTCAGATACAGTTCAAGGTCCAGACGCAGCTCAAGTTCCTTTCACTAGCAGAATCAAATTATTTCCTAAACATATGTTGTCCCTTCTTTCATGCCTGTCTAGGGCAGTGTGGCTGTCCAGATGTTCCTGGACTTCAGCTCCCATCAGCTCCCATCAGCAGAGCAGGCAATAAAGGATGGTGGGAGCTGGAGTTCCATCAAACACAGTTTTCCCATCCATATCATATGGGATAAAGAACTAGCTACTCCAAGACTGACCTTTGAAGTATCTAACCATAAAATACATTTCACTCTCTGATTGTTGTTAGTTACATTCTGCACATACCCATTGCAATCAAGAATGAAAAAGGAATGGTGCTATCCAGTCCAAATTGATTCAGTCCTGCTTAGCATCTGCATCAGTTCCTTCATGTGTTTTTTTCCAGCATTCTGACTATTCTATTCTGACAGGAATAGTTTTAAAGAAAGCTGAGTGCAATTTGTGGCAGGCATACAGTATTTCCCATACTGTACACAAACATTTATTTTGCTCCATTGTTCCATCTGGCCTAACAGATCGAGCAATTAGTGTATAGATCATGAGCACAAATCATTTTAAAAAACAATAAAACACACTTTCAGCTTGCAGAGGACGTGCTCAAGAATAATAGTTTTGCAACTCCTGGTGCGAGTGCTAGAGCTGCACATAGTACAATAAGCTCTTACAATGTGCTCTTAGAGAGCCCCACAAGCTGAGGATGTAAAAGACACCAAGGTATATATAAGGTCCACTCACATAATATTTCTTGTCCCATCCTATGGCTGGATAATGGTACACCTGTTACCAAAAATAAAGCAGTGAAACTTTCTTATCTTCATGCTATATGCACTGCTCTTCATCTTAATGAACAAGACATGTCCTCCTATCAGTTTCAAAGCTGTTAGAACTCAGATTAATCATTGTCATTGCTCTGCTCTGATCACATCACCAGGGACTCATCACAACTAGGTCCAGCTACAAGTGCTACAAATTAAACTGAAATTATTTCAGGAGCTAGATTTAGTCCATCAGATGTGGCCTATTGATCTTGAATTTGTATCACTCATTCCCCAGTCTCCCACTTGTACTACACATCCTCTCCTCTCCACCCCCATGCACCCTCAATATCTACACCAGAGGGTTGGGGGATGCCCTGGAGCAGATTTTGGGGGCACATAAGAAGATGAGAGTCCCACTGCATAAAGTGGAACACTGCTGGTGCAATATTGATTACAGTCCAATAAGTCCAGATTGGACCACTGCCTCCCCAACGCCCTACTGGTGCTGATGTCCAGTAATAATCTGGATAAGGCAATTTACAACCTGAGGGCTGCAGCCTTTCAAATATATTTTATGTTCACACACATTAGGGGAGTACAAAGTTGGTCATAATGGGAAGTACAGTTCCCATGATCTCCAGTTCTCCTGAATGCACTGTACACATGTAGATTTCTCCATTGCAGGATATATTGGACTAGATGATCCTCGGGGTCCCTACAATTCTATCATAGTGGTATCAAATTAATTTTGGGAGCTCCATATTCCAACTCTGGATTGGATCCTTTTTTTGGCCATTCCCTTTAATTAGGGAAATAAATTTGGGGAATAAGGACTAGCCACTTCGTATTAGAACTGAGGCCTTCAAACACTGGTATTCAATGGCTTCTATGTGACTGGATGCAATGATGGAATCTTTTTCAGGCATCTGAAACCAGTTTGTTATATAATCCAGTCAATTCAAGTTACTTCCAGATGTTCACACTGATTTCTGTCAAGCAGCCTTTCCCAAGCTGGTGCTATCCAGAGGTTTTGGCAGACAGCTTCTATCACCCCCAGCCAATGGTCAGAGATGATGGAAATTATAGTCCGAAACCTCTGTTGAGGCTGAGGAAGGCTGCTGCAGATCATACCTAAGACTGGTTCCCTTTTCATCTCTTTCAGCAATCTTTATTCAGTCTGCAGCTAATTGGGGGATTGCTTAAATTGAATCAAATAATGAATTGTGTGTGCAGGTTCTTCTGACTCCATAAAAAATTCAACAGTTCAAATGCTTGAACTCTTATAGCTTAAAATTGTTAAGTGTGCACTGTGAGATTATGGATTTCAGAATGAGTACTGAAAAATGTGAACGTCTTGATAATGACAAAAGTATTATAACTAACTGCTGTTTTTAAAACACACACACACAATTCCTGGTCTGCTGCAAAAAACTAATAGGCTGATCCATAAGGATCCTACAATGCATTCTTCTACCACTTCATTACATAGCAGGACTTTAAAAAATGAAACCTAAAAATCATTGAAATCAGATAACGCTGATGCTAGTTGAATTCCAACCTTCAGTTCCAGAAAAGAGAGAGGATGGGGAGGTAGAGCACAAAGCCCTATACAAATACATTCCTGCATTTCAGTCCTGTTGTGCTGGTGTTGCTGGCCAGCCTACCATTTATTAAGCTATGGCACTTGTGGGCATTGGGGGAGGGGGGAGCCAGTACCCTACAGAGTAATCACAATACACAAAGTGCAACAGGCTGAATAATAATAACCATAAACATTTTATTGGTTATTTCCTAACGTAAAGGTCTAGCCCAGTATGTGCAACATATACAGTTCATATGTACAGTATATAACCTATGAAACTAATTCCAATATTAATACATTTTGTCTTTTCTTATCTTTTCCTATTGTTTCTTCTTGTGAGTTCATGTATAACACAATCCTTAGGTTTTCTTATTGTTTCTTCTTGTAAGCAGGTAAAAATAGAAAAGAAAAGTTATGTTAGGAAATAAACAAGAAAATATTTGTGGTTATTATTATTCAGCCTGCTGCTCTTTGTGTATTCTGATTACTGTATTTGCGTAGCAAGGTATTGAATTTGTTTTGACCCTACAGAGTAATGACAGAGTCACTACAGTTGAGGCAGCAAACACAGGTATGGCTCACCTGTGCCTTATCCTAAAATATGGCTCACCTTTTATCTTCTGTGGAGCTTATTGAATATTACAAACCATCATTTGCATATGTGCAAACCATAGTCATATTTATAAACAACCTGCTCCAATGCAATTTAATCTGATAGGTATTTAAGCTAGATGACAGGGTGCTGATGTAACTGCTGCAACACAGGCCATTAGATGTATTCAAACAGCTATACAAATATTTAGGATCAGAATGTGAATTTCTGTTTGATTTAGTGGGGTCAAATCCGCTTGAATATAGGTACCCTGACTTAAATTGTTTATAGACCAATTCACACAATCATTTTAGCATGGATGGGAGAATGAAAAGTGAGTTGCCACCCCCACACCCCCACCACACATTTATGGCTTCTCATATGAATGCTCTGACAGGTGCTTCAGATCACAAGTTTGCACCTCTTTGAGTAAATTTGGGCCAGACTGGGTCCTTGTTTCCACATGGCAAGATCCCATGTTGCTGGGTTTTAGGCCTTTCCTACCCGAGCAACCATCGAGTTTGGCCATGCCACGTGCTTTTAGTATACAGCTGATGAGTGCAGGTGAGCCATGTGGGATCATGCCACAAGGAAGTGCAATATAAATTTATATAGTCACTTTCTCATCTGTAGCCCCTTAGAATGAAGCCGAGTGTTACTACTAACAAGAACACAGAGACATAGTAATGGTCAGAACTCGCATATGACCATCTCCCTTGGTAAGCACCAACAGTTGCTTCTCTGGAAAAACTTCAAGATTTTTGCTTGGAGCTCAGCAAGCCATAATGCTAAGACATGTCAAGGAGGTGACTAAGTGAAAAAAGATGTCAGGGATGTAACTGAGGGCTGCCCTGCACATAGATATATATTCACCTCAGAAGTTGAATTTTAGTCCCAAATGAACACATTTGAAGAAAAACTGGGAACTTCTAAATGATTTATGTCTGCTGCTGATGGTTTTTCAAATTCCTCTGCACCTTTTGCTACAAGATTTGGCATCACTCATGTGTCTACAGCTGTAACTCTTGGGTGGCTGGGAAAGTAGTCAATGTTCACTGTATAGTAACCCTCACAATTCTAATAGGCCATGGAAGTCCAATGTTAGCCAAGTTATTTTTATAGGTCAATTTGAATGTTTTTCTCTCTCTTATAGCATTGGATCTACTGCTAATTTTGAAATGACTTTTTGATGTAATCCCCCCCTTTTGGTTGGATACTATGTAGTGTAATGTATAATTGCTATTGTTTATTGCTTTTACAGTCATATTTATTAAACAGATTCTGTCTCTAAAGAAAGTCACAGATGTTTTGTTCAATTATCGTATACGGCTTGACTGCGAAAATAATAATAAAAGTTTTACTTGTACATACAATGTAAAATTGAAGAAATAAGAATTTTGGCTTAAGTATTAGAGTGAAATCAAGCCTAAGCCCCATTGATTTCCATTGTAGTATTAACATTCATGCTTAAATCTCTCCCGTTGAAATAAATGGGTCTGAAATGGCTTATTTTCTAACTGACTTGTACCCTTAATTATCAGGCAGTAATCACTCTAACAAAAGGGACGCGGGTGGCGCTGTGGGTTAAACCACAGAGCCTAGGACTTGCCGATCAGAAGGTCAGAGGTTCGAATCCCCGTGACAGGGTGAGCTCCCATTACTCGGTCCCTGCTCCTGCCAACCTAGCAGTTCAAAAGCACGTCAAAGTGCAAGTACATAAATAGGTACTACTCCGGCAGGAAGGTAAACGGCGTTTCCGTGCGCTGCTCTGGTTCACCAGAAGCGACTTAGTCATGCTGGCCACATGACCCGGAAGCTGTACGCTGGCTCCCTCGGCCAATAAAGCGAGATGAGCGCCACAACCCCAGAGTCGGCCACAACTGGACCTAATGGTCAAGGGTCCCTTTACCTTTACCTAATCACTCTAACGTATAAGCAGATTTAGAAACCAAATCAATTTCAAGCCATGACTTGAAATTGAAACACTTGAAACACAGACTGCTATTAATGCTAGGAATTGTGCTAAAGCAACACTAGAAGCCACCCTTCATCCTAAGGTCGCAGAGCAGGTCACAACAACAGAATGGTGCATTAAATCCAATGCAGTGTGCCTCGGCATTTGTGGTTGAAAATGGGGGATGGCACATTCATTGCACTGAATAGTCAGATGGATCTTTTTATTGCTTCTTTTATCTTTTATTCCCTATATTGTATTGTATTTATTGTAATGCCTGTGTGGTCCACCAATACGTCCAGCAATCTTCAAGTTGTTTGGGAGGAAAAAAATAGTTGG